CCTGAACTTGAAGCACAGCAGACAAGCTTTGAAGGGCAGTTGGTCGCAGTCTTGATTGGTCGATCTGAGAGGCCTCGGGGTTGAACATGTTCAGGGTTCAAGGTGTTAGGATCTTGCAATCACTTGTGTCGGGTATAGCTTGGGGTTGAAAGGTTTGGGTTGTTTTTTGGAGCTAATGTTGGTTTCAAATCACACCCTCATCAACCTGTTCTTGTTGAGTCTTGTTGATGCTGGGGCCGAGTTCTAGGCCTTCAAGACCTCGTATAGCGCTTCCCTTCCCTGGCTGTCAGCCCAAAGGTGATCATCGTATGCACAACTGGAAAATGGCAGTCAGTTTGGGCGTCAGCGCCTGGCCACTTGAGCTTGCACACACCGGAAGCTGCTTAGATCGTAGATTCCTTGTCTGATCCGTTAGCAAGTAAATAGCTGTCATTTTGGGGCCCAACGCCTGTAATAGAACCGGGAACTGACACCCCTAGAGGTTTTTTTAGCCCTAAGCTCCCTAAAGCCGTGGATTCCTTGAAGTGATGGGGTTTGATCGGAAAACAACCAGTAATTTTGGGAGCCTTGCTCGAATATTTCAAAGCTGCAACCCCAAAGCCGTAAAATTGTCCCAAACCCCTAGATTGCCGGAAGTGATTCTTGCTCCATGGATATATGTTTTTCACAGTAGTGTACTTGACTGCGCACCAGATTACTTGAGATAGCCCGAAAATATTTTTTGTATTGCTAATTTGGAAATTTGGCTAACAGAGCACCAGGAGATTGTAACCCTAAACCCTAAACGGTTCCCCGGGAGCCTGCAGCGGCCGTAAGCACCCCCACAGATAGCTCCTCTTGACATTGAGGAGGAACGCCCAGGAGTCCTGAGCTAAAACCTAGACACTAAACGGTTTGGGGTTTAGGAATTTTGGTTTGGGGTTTAGGGTTTAGGGTGCCCTCACCCAAGTACGGCTGTGACTTATCGGCTGTCAGTTGGGAATTCAAAATCTAATGGCGCATTTCCCATTTTCTATCGTTTCTTAAATGGGGCTCCGGATTATATAGCGCGATGCCATGCAATCGTCATTATAAAAGGACTCAAGGACACATACGTAATAGCTGCTTGTAGAATGCCAGACTAGCCAACATTTTCTCTCTTTTTTTGCAGGAGATATGCCATAACTCGCATGTTTAAAGTTCAGTTGGAGGTTGGGGCCATCAGTTGCCTAGAACATTCTAACATGTAGCGTATGAGAGACTAGAAGCACGCATGAAGCCGGAGGACATGCTAGGCAGAAGGTCCATGTTCATCCCTAATCTATTCACACGGATTGTAGCGGGATGGGCTCAAGGACCATGCGACAGGCATGTTAGAGGACCCTTGCAACATGCTACACATATCATATCGTTCAGGTTCCTGCGTCACTCTCGAAAAGTTTCACTTGGGTTCAGGCCACTCATGCTTGTACAACGTCAGGGTTATTTGAGGGTCTAATTGTTCGGATTTCAGGGCTTGACGGCAGAGACTGATTGCGACTCGTCTGTGCAGCGTTAACTTGAAACGAGGCGTATTCCACTCACACTGGTGTGCCCTGTCCCACCCCCTCGCACACTGCCACTCGTGCTGTGTGCAGGAAGTGCCTCCACCCTATGGCCCACAAGAGCAACCGGTAGTTGATGCGCAGCACGTCTGCAGTGGGTCCTATCAGGAACCTGGTGATGCTGTGGAATTTGCGCTTCCATTTCATGTTACTTGTTTGGGTTAGTTTGGCTTCAGTATCTCTAGCAGCGACTCTGTTGTGTGAAAGCACCTTGGCCCCTTCACTATGAATCTTGCAGGGCCCCGGTGCTAGAAGCCTAGCAGGAAAATCTGGAGGTTCCGAACGCCAAATTATCGTGTACATCCTGAGAATGCAAAGCAGCTCATCCGTTCATGGTGCGCATAAAGATCCCCAGTACCGCATGGTTGGGATGTGCGCGCTCATGCCCGGCTTGCAGCATCAGAGTGACCTAGAGCTTTGATAATTGTCATCATCTCCTGCCCTTTGTCTGCCTGCATGGCAGATCCTGCTTCAGCTTTTTGTTGGCAACCCCTTCCTTTTACAATGAATTGTGCTGTCTCAAAGGTGTCGCTACACGAGCTGTAGTCTAAACTCCTAGCATCCCCTTCAATAAGCCCCATGATAGCGCGCTATACAATGCCCCATATAACCCCCTGTAAGGAGGTTAGAATACGGCTCACATGTCACTACGCTGGTTTGCCGGCAACTTAAGAGGCAGCTGCTGGGCATTTCCAGATTCGACCTCGCTGTATTTTGCAGAGTTAGCCTGAGGTTTAGAGGTTTAGGGCACATGGATTCAAACCCCAAAACCTTGTATACCCCTTATGGAACCCGTACATTCCCCTTCAAAGGGTACCCCTAACTCTGGAAATTCTAAACCCAAGGACCATGCGCGAGATCAACCAGATGTTTGCTTACCGCTTGCCACAAACAGTGCCGTGGGCAATGTTTTCAGCCTGAGCTTTCATTGAGGGTTTAGGGTTTGGGGCTTGATTTTGGTCTGTCTGCGATGGGGTAGGTTTGGCTAATGGCCAGCGCATACAGCTAACCCTCAACCCTAGTCCACGTAGCATGTCTCCCTTATGTGCGTGTGAGACTCTGGTGCTTGCCTTGTTGCTTCAGGCCCTTGCTTGTGTGTTACAGGTACCCTGGTCAGGTCAGATTGATACCGCGATTTTGAGTCTCCCGCCCGCCCGCCCCAGACGGGGAAGTGGGCTGCGGCAATTCCATCCTTGCTTAGCCACTTTCGGCCCAAAGGCCCCTTAAAAGTAGGGGGGTCATTAATCACGGGTCTACATTACTGAGGTCTATAGTAGGGGAATTGGAATTACAGAAAAGGCCAGAGTGAAGGCCAGGACAATACCGTAGCATTTAGAGGTTCAGGGGTTTAGACGTTCAGGGGTTTCGGGGTCTAGGGGTTTAAGGTAGACTCTGGTTGCAAGTTGGTCGCAGACCCTGCTAGCTGTGAGGAAGCACGTTTTGCAGAGGTTCGGGTGCTCTGGCAGAAGAGGTGGGTCCAGGCAGTTCTTGCTAGGTGAGGACTAGAAACAGAGAAGGGTCAGAAATTACTATGAGGTTTGCAGACTAGCTGTTCGAAAGCCATTGTTGTTCAAGTTGGGTGCTTCGTGGCTGGCACAGCGCTCGCTCGCTCGCTCGCTCATGCTGGTCGGTTCGAGCACGTGCGCAAGCAGCCTGAAAGCACGCACCTTGAGCAAGCACGCATTGCAAAATCAATCTGATCTGTTTCGGCCTTGCAAACCTGTTGCGGCAAGTCTGAAGCCCAAAAATGGCCCCCTGCCTTCTGAAATGCGGAGCTTCGTGGCTGTTTGGGTGCTCGTTCAACTGCGTTCGCCAGCTGGAGCAAGAACGCATTCAGCCTGAAAGCATGCACCTGGAGCAAGCACGGTTTGAACCCTTGATACATGGGAGTTTTCTGCAGGTTATTCTTTACAATCCTCTCAAGGGACCCCGCCCTAATCCTAGCACATCCCGGCCTTGAAAAGTCCCGGGGTCCCTGCATGCGTAGTATGAACCTCCACAAATCCCCCTAAGCTGGCTAATTGAGGTCCATGTGTGGGGCATACTTGCAGCCTTAGAAGGGCATCCCTGTTTTGACACACAATACTGTGTGCCCTATGTGATCGTTAAGACGGACAACCTACCCCTCCTATTGTGAGAACCCCCTACGTCCTCGCAATTAATCACTGCTGCCATCACCGGCTATCACCCCAGATTTTTTTACCTTAAAATGACAGCTTGCAAGGTGACATCGTAGAGACTCCGAGATCCCCTGCTGAGTCTTTAAGAACCTTCGACTTTAAATTCCGCAGCCAGGCATTGTTCTATTCGTTGGCTGGTGCTTCCCTGGGGCTGTTCACCGTTTCCTACTTCACCTCCTTCATGCTGCTGGAGGACGGCTTGGGGATCAAAAGCCTGTCATTGACAAGAAAAGCAGGGCCAGGGCCGGGGTGTCCCATTGGTTGATTGAACCCCAAAAACCCTAAGGGGGGGGTTGTAAGCTGCTTCCGGCTGTGGTCGGCTTGGAGGACAATGACGACCGATAGACCCCCAAAGACTGGCCAGCCGTAGATGTAAAACCTATAAGGATGAGAATTTAGGGTCATCTTCTCCCCTCAAATAGCAATACTTTTGGAGATCTCAGGGGATTTTAGGACCATAATGTCTAGGGATTAATGTAAGGACCACACGGGCAAGACAAGGATTATGTAAGGTGGTTTGCTTTTTGCAGAATTAACGGACTGTACAAAACATGGGCTGACAAGAATACAAACATCGAATATCCCAACCGCATCAATGTAGATGCCAGGGCGCGTTGGTACATCCCCTCAAACATAGATCCTAACGCATGGTTGGCGGTGCCTGTTGTGGCTTCTACATTCTCAGGCGAAGGCACCGGGGACTAGAAGTAGAAGAAGTACAGTTGATGTCTTAGGCCAATGCACCCGTATCCTTACGCGTGGCTGCCAGTTGACCTCATAAGCCCCAAGCCCCAAAACCGCAGGATCAAGGCCCCAAGAGGGTGGTGGACATCGGCTTCCTGATCTCAAAGGGCGTCAATGTTTACATGGGCCGCACGATACCAATCGTGCCGGGCTAAGGGTAGCCAGATGCTGTGTGGGGGTTTCCCAAAGTTGGGGGGAAATTGATTGTGGGCCCGTGTAAAGGGGGTTATGCCATTCTCGGATCCACATTGGGCTTCCACAACCCCCAATACGAATTCCCTTGTGATCCGGATGTAACCCTTGTGATTCCTTAGGGTACCCGACATTGAGAAACTCCCTAATCCTTGATCCCAGTTTCCATGTCCTTTTCCACGTTCATGTCCATTATGTTCTCCATAATTGGGGTAGTGTCGCTAAACCCTATATAGTCCCTACATAGCCCCTATATTGCTCTGCGCAATCCTTGCACCATAAACCCTACCTGGACCCTCCAATGTAGTACCTTTTTGGGGATCCTCACAAGAATCCTAACCCAAAAACCAGACCAAGCCCAAACAGGAACTACATTGGATGGTCCAGGTAAACCCTAATCCTTACTCCCTACATGTAATCCCCGTATGAGCCATAATCTAGACTCCTTAAAGGGGGTTGTATACGGGAATATATAGGGGAGTATTATAGGGCTTATTAAGGGGGATACTAGGAGTTTAGACAAGACTATAGCTCACGTAATCCCCATATGAGTAGTATTTTATTTGGCGGTACTATGGTACCCAATATAGAGTAAGATTCTATCCTCCTTTTGGGGTATAGTATTTTATATAAGGAATATGACCTTACTAGGTTCAACCACAAAAAAAAACACTACTCATATGACCTGTTAAACTCCCAGCGTTGTTGCCGAGATCCTCGCCTTGCTGTTTTTGGGCGGCTGGTATGCCTCGCCCTTAACGTCTTTAGGGTTTAGGGACGAGGGTGTAGGGTTTAGAGTTCAAGGGTTTAAGGGTTTAGGGTTTAGGGTAGGGACTAGGGTGTAGGGTTTAGAGTTCAAGGGTTTAAGGGTTTGGTGGGACCCTCTGCTTGTAGGATTTAGGCCTCAGGTAGGAAAACATTGAGAGTATGACCAGGTCATAACCCATATCCCTCATAGCTCCCCCTATAATTCCCACACCTCAAACCCTCAACCCTAAGTCCTTCTTGCCCGCGTATAGCTACCCAGGAGCTGGCAAGCAAAGGAGGGAGATTTGTATAGGTTCCTGGCCGGTGGAGTTACTTAAGGGTCAGGGGGACTTCAGTATACACATAGTTCGTACGAGCCATGAAAAAAAACCTAGTAACCTGACTAACCTACCCCTTCAAGTATGGCAGTTGCTACCAAGAGCCTTCTGCAGATTCAGCACAAGTCGCACCATGTCAAGGCTACACCGGAGGGATCCCTAGAAGGGACTCCATGATCCTGTTGCCTGATATAAATATAGTCCCCCTTGAGTAGATAGAGTAAGAGGTATATGGGGATCTTATCATAAGTATACCCACAGCCATACTCTATCTACGTAAGGGGCACTATAGTGCTTGCGCGCCCCTATATACCTAGCTAGATCTTGTCAGGTGCGCCAGAGATGCAAACTGGGATCCCAAGTGATAAGCTTGCCTCCAGTGATGCTAAACAATCCTGCATGACTTGAGTATACTATAGCACCATAAACTCTACAATTTCAGAGTACTTTGGAAAGATTTTTCAGTATCCACTATTAGGGCTTGGCAGCTAGGGAGGCATCAGACTACTGAGGACCAATACTGATCAGCTGCATACCCTACAGTACGAAGGCACGGCCGCGGTTTCCGAGACCGTTATCCATAAGCTTGAGACAAAGTTACGCTTGACGGGTACGCCAATCTATCTGCATACATGCACGTATGCAATCCTGGCTCTGTTCTTCTAAATCCCTATAGAAGTCTTTAGCCTTGCTGCATGGATATCAAGTCCCTGGGCCACTAAACTTCAGAAGTAGAAGCTCCAAACGCTAAGGGCTTGGCTTCGCATTAAGAACCCACCCCCCTTCCCACGACCCGATTGACCTATTTCCGTTTCGGGGGTGCCCCGGAATACAGATGCCCAAAATGAAGGTTGGAAAAGCTACATATACATAGAATCAGTCAAAACCTAATGAGAATCATGGCCCCTAAGAAATTACGATTTTCCGGGAATGTTGAACATATAAGTTATAAGTGTAGGTAGATTTGCTATTCTGATCCGTCGGCGGAACTTTTTAATTGTGGGTAGACGGGTAGACCCTCTAGTGTGAAGTCAACATTGCCATATACTTGAACCTGCATTTGCTCCGTGCCATGCAACGGGGCAAGCCTCAACCGTTGTTCATACAACTGCCAATAGATTCCTAAGTGCCACAACTCTCGCTAGCACGCAGGGAATTGATCACTGGTTTGGAATGGAATATGATTCAGATCATATACGGATTGCTACAGATATCTGTTCCATCTCATTCCTTATCCACAAGGACCCACATGAGGTCATGCGCCTGTCTCTTAATTAACAGGGGACACTTCTAGACCCCCCACAGGCAACGTCTATCCTGATGATTCCCAAGAGGCCCGTGCTTGGTAGGAAACTTGAGACGCACATGGTCCCACTCCTATGCCTCCTTGGTAGGTAGAATCCCTGCAATTCGCCTGAGACAGTTCCATCTGAGTGATGGGACTACCATAGTCCTCAACATTCGCTAGGTATGGCATCTCATAGGAGGAACAGAATCCAAAATCCAACTTGATTCAAACGACAACAAATGAGAACTACCCATCTGAGGTTATGGGGACAGCGGGACCCAGAGCCGTTGCTTGTTTCGCTGTTGGCGCGGCGCTGAACTTGCTAAGCGTCAGGGCCTCAGGGTTTAAGGGGTTTGGGAAGTTACGTTATTTTCCAGCGAACTTCCAGCGCCAGTGCTGCCCTTGTCCTGCTGCAGGGTTTGTCGTAATGGTACTTTCCTTCTTGCACTGTGGCCCTTTCATGTTCACATGTGCTCAGAGTGTTGCCCAGGCGCAGGTTGGCGTCAGCGTCACAGTGCAGGGGCAAACGCGCCTCGCACACGCCCTGGGCCTGGAGTTGTTCGATGCCCTTCAAATTGGGATCAGGCGCCTCAGTTTCGCAGCCGCAGCCGAAGATTTGCATCCAACACTTGTCGCAAGACTCAACATTTCACATGAAAAGCAAGAGCTGCAGAAAAATGCTCCTGTGGGTGCGGGTTGCCTTTCTACCATGCGTTGTTAGGGATAAGGGCGTGTGGGTGGGCAAAGCTACCCATGGTCTTTCGGCTTGTCTTGTGATCATTCAAATCCGCGGTGATACATGAAGTCCTGTATTGATACAAGCTGAAAATGGCCACGGGCGATAACGCAATGAAACACCCACATGCTTTTCTCGAAAGAGTTTACACATTCGTCCTCTTTCATCTCTTATTCTCGCCCATCTGCGAAGAGTGAGGCTATGCAATGGCCTGCCCCGCCATGCCCCCGTAAGTGTGTGTTGGGTGCCTGCCCACAATTTCTTTGAAGGCCTGCAAATAGACCGAGCGCTGATCTGCAAGAATGATTCACCGTGTGCAGTGTTCCGTCCATCACGCGTGCCGAAGACTGGGCTATGCTGGGTTCCAAGTCAATCACTCCTGCAACAACCTGTCAGCCCGACTGTAACTCACCCGTCCTGGACGTATAATGGTGAAGGTAAAGCGTGATGGCGATTCGTTTTGTTGCACACCCTGCTGAATTGTGATTGACTTGCTACCACACCATGGTCCCCATCACCTCTGCCGCAACTGGACTCACCTTCACGGTTGCCTCGAGAGGACAGGATCCATTGGCGGACTACTGGCCACGTCCCTCGCTTTAGGAGGCGGGAGGGTGGACGGTTTCAATTTGACATCCTCTGCATGCTTCGAAGTTCATGGCGACGTATGCATGGCGTCATGAGCAGGCAACTAGAGCTGTAGGCAGCATCATAGGGAACATCTGCGTGCTTCCAACAACGTTGATAGCCCAACCCACAAAGCTTGGAGTGATGAGTCCTGCTGCAACCTATCTGCTTTGGGCGTCATGGGCTTAATCACGCTGCTGGAAGTTCAAGGCATTCACAACAGGAGGGGAGACATAGCACCCCACCCAACCCCGACCCGTATATTATAGTATATTAGAGTATATCATAGAATAGTATGTTATATTCTGGTATATTTCTTGCAAAGGGGCAAGAAGACATGAACTAACCTCTGGCTGTTCTCAAGGCTTCTACTATGGATATCCGATAGAGCAGATAGAGATTGCAGTTGACGATGTGGGTTGGGTCTACTGTAGGACGAGCGGGATTCGGATGGATTATGTGCTTTTTATCTCGCGTATCTGCCTCAGATTATTGCCTTTCCGTGGGACTTCAGGGTCCCATACGGATGAGAACTACAACCCCTGAAGGCATGACTTTGGTATACAGAAAATTTTCTTGTCAAGGTCAAATTAGAATACTCGAGGTCATGCAAGGTTTTCCGTATCAACCCCATTGAACTGTACGGAATCCTGTTGTCCATTAGATTTCCCATTTGCTTTTCTATGTGATTCTCCGTTTTTGGGGATAATAGACTTAAACCCCTACAGAATTTCCACGTGCCCCTGTATAACCCCTATACAAGTAGCAGTATCTAAAATAGAGCCCCCCAGAAGAATCCTGCTTGCCAGGCATGGCTGGCATGTGGCTGCTGATCCAGGACTTTGGACTTTTGGGGCTTGGGCTTAGGGTGTAGCATTTGGGTTGAGGATTTTAGGTTGAGGGTTTTGGGTCTAGGGTTTTGCATTTAGAATTTTGGGCTGAGGGTTTAGAGCTTGGGGTTTGGTTAGCTTAGGGTTTTGGATTTGGGGTGGAGGGTTTTGCCTTTGGGATTGTAGTGTTGAGGGATGTGGGTTTAGGATGTTTTGGTACAGGGCTTTATTTGGTCGGAGTGCCACCTTAGCTAGCAGATGCTAGCAGTAAAGCTGCTGAAGCCGCAGTAAAAGCCGACTCTAGGCAAGGCTTTGTTGCAGAAGCATTCGGGGTTTAAGGTTGCGGGTCTAGGGTTTAGGGTGCAGCGAGGGCAGTAAGTGCTTTGTTCAAGTTATCTCAGCCCAGGTCAGGCTCTTCGCTTGAGGAATTTCGCTTTGTCTCAGGTCGCAGGTACTCGTACTGATTACTTGGTATTTGGACGGTCGTTGTCTTTTGCGGGTGCCCCGAAACAGGGGTGTGATCTTTGTGTTAATAGGGGGACCTAAACCTAGCAAGAGTCCTACCTAACTCTCCCTAAACTGTTCCTTTCGCAGCCCTAAATGTGCCCAAAACTAAACCCCCAAACCTAAACTAACCCTAGACCTCAAGCCGTGTCAGGACACGCTGTCCTTGTCTGGTTTCGGCTCTGGGGCCTCCATTGCCACTTGGCCATAAGAACGGGACTTATAGTCCCCCTTAAGTAGATAAGTAGATAGAATATGGCTTGGGTATATTATAATAAGATCCCCATATACCCATTATTCTATCTACTTAAGGGGGACTTTATTCCCTTCCAAGAATTCTAGTAATGCATGGGTTTGGAGTGAGGGTGCGGATTGGAAAAGGCTTCTGCGAGTCCCTGCTGAGGGTTCCAGAGAGGGGTAACTCTCAGAAACTCCCAAGGTACCCCTAATTTTGGGAAATCCCCCCATACATGTATCCCTAAACCCTATATAACCCCACTATAGTAGTTTCCATTTTCTTTTCCATTATCCCAATATTACCCCAATATATACTCTATAATCCCTATATAAATGACTGTTTAGTTCGGGGTTGGGGTGCAGGATGCCATCCGGAGGTTGAGGCTTGCTTTTCCAAATCCAGTATAGTCACCTTGTCAGGGCCAGAGAAAAGTGTCGAAAAGGGAAGGGGCCGGTCTCCCCGATTCATGAGTGATTATCGGTGATTTCTGGTGGTTTTTTGGAAAGCTGCTCCACAGCGTGCCGCCGCGTTTGAAAGGTGGGAATCCTGGACATTTCCTTGCAAACTACGGAAGGTTCGGCACGGGAGAACTGAGAAGGGATCTTGTGCCAGGCCAGCAAAAGGTGAGTGGGCCTTGGGTCCCACATGGCAGTTTCCCTAAAATGGGGGGAATCCCAATATATACATTAAAATTTGAAATACTATAACCTTTATTATGGGGACCCCCAAAAAGGTATCCTTAATTTTTAGGAAATCCCCATATGTACAATTTGCTTCCAGAAGTCACTTTTAGCCTTTCAGGTCGAGATTTGCAATGCTTGGATGATCTCTTGACTTTGTAGGTTTACCTACTGTCCCCAATAACCCTTACAATAAGCCCCATGACCCCTGTTCAGGAGATCCTCCGAGTAAGCCCTCGCTTCGCCCAAACCAAGGTGAGTAGTATTTTATTTGGGGATACTATGGTACCCAATATAGAGTAAGATTATGTCCTCCTTTTGGGGTATAGTATTTCTGTAAGGGATATAACCTTACTGGGTTTAACCACCAACAAAACGCTACCCAGGTGTCGTTCTCCATGCGAGTTGGAGGGGGGATCTTCTCGAAAGGGGCCGACATAGGTGCGGACCTGGTCAGTGGCACGGCTGCAAGCGCGAATCTAATGTTGCTGGCTCATGGGTAATGTCGAGCTCATTTTGGTTAGAAAAGGGTTTTGGGGCGCATTATTCTACAGCTTTACAAAGGTTATAAGGATATACTGTACTACGGATAAATCTGCAGGCCGCTACAGTAGGCGTCAGAACAAAACAAAGTCCTTGCACCTAAGGCGACATGGAGCAGACGCGGATGGAGGAGGACCAACGGCTTTTCGAGCTGCAGAAGAAGATGGCAGAGTTGGAGGCAGGGAGAAGGGTAGTATGCTTGTAGTCCCCCTTAAGTAGATAGAATATGGGGTAAATGGGGATCTTATTATAATATACCCGAAGACATATTCTATCTACTTAAGGGGTCCTGCATGACCCTGCGTAGCTTCTAGCTTGGGAATCATTGTGGGAATTGGGTCTCATAGCCAACTAATATCTCAACAGTGGTGTGTCTAAAGTAGGGCTGGACACATTTTGAATGTTATTAACATCCGCTGCTAAAATCTACGGAATATTTCTGACTCACACTGGGTTGGATGGGGCGCATGGAGTTCCGTGGGTTGTCAGACGTCTAGACGTCTAGATGCAGTTGCCGCAACGTTTGGTCACAAGCTTTCGTTACCATGCTGACAGAAGCCCCCTCTAGCTACAAATGAGGCCCAAGTATTTGACGTTCTCTTGTGGGCATGGTATAGACTTCATCAAAAGTGTGCATGTTGTATGACTTTACATTTGCTACATAACTATAACATGAACCCATTCGCGAAGTGTTCTTAACGTTTTCGGTGGCACTACGTAGCTTCACAACAGGACTGTCAAGGTTTCAATGCACTGTTTAGGGTTTAGCCAGAAGATTGGCATGCATCGAACAATACGGGGCATGTAGCAGCTTCCTAAAACTCATCGTCGGCCTTTAATTTGTTTTCTTGGAGATGCGCCCCTATCTTTGGCGCAGATCTTTGCGAATTCCTCATTTTGGGAAGCTGCCTTTCGGGGACGTCATGGGGACGGAGACGAGATTATGAATAAAGTATCAAACTTGTAACGCCGCTTCAGCTACCCGTGGGCCTCTACGTATGGATTTCGGATCTGGTAGAACCCCAGGGAAAAAGTGGTAGGGGGATGCTTGTAGAAAAGAGGCGCCGATTGGCATTGTTTTCATAAAACATGGACCCTAGCCTTCCTTTCTGAGCATACAGCATATGGGCTTTACATGGTTAGTGGCGTGTGCTTCTTTCAAGCACGGATACCTTGATGATTTCGCAACAGCCAAGCTCTAGATCCCCGCCCGTTTCAAATGCCTTTGAAGCTGAGGCATAATGGGTTTACATAGAAAATAATAGGGTTCCCCCAATATAGTAACGTAATTGTAAACGCTAGCGCGCGCCCGCCTCGGCTGGCCGGGCTTCCCACAGTAGGAACATGTAATTATAGATATACAGGTATTTAAGTTAGGTATATAGATACAGTCATATG